TCAGCCAATCGACCAACGTGATTGATCAGTTCCACGAGACCTGCGACTTGAGTTTCATGGAGAACGGCCTTTGAGTTCCACTTTTGTGGAAATACGACTAAAACCAGCGGCTGAAACCGTCGTAAAAAATTACAATAGGATGGCCGGTCTCAGGTTTCTTTCTGGTTTCATTAGTTCCAATTCCTGTATTTCCTGCATTTCCTGCATTAGTTCGTTCCATCTTGCTTAACTGAACACAGCCCAGGTCTAAGTCTATGGTCTTGTCTTTGTCCAAAAAGAAGCCTAAGGGAATGTGCGGAACCAGCTCGACCAATCATAGCCATTCCGTTTTTTTTCCTTCGCTTTTTCTATGGTTACGATTGGTCGAGCTGGTTCCGCACATTCCGTTCCGCTATAGATTTTCGCTCAATGGGACATCGCCCTAAGGCCTGGTTTATGCGGGCCTAAAGCCCCTTGCACAATGGAAGGAATAACGATAACAATAGAAATAACAATTTTTAACACAGAATTCCAACTCGTCAGAAATTTTATCGCTATTGCTTATTCCGATTTTCTGATCTGCATTGATATATGTGTATTTTTGTATGTTAGATTCCGCTGTTTCTACCTTTATTTTTAAATATAAACTCTTTAAAGCTTCTTGCACAATGGACGGAATAGCGATAGCGATGGAAATAACAAAAGTTTTAAAGAGTTTATATTTAAAAATAAAGGTAGGAAAAGCGGAATCTAACATACAAAACTACACATGTATCAATGCAGATCAGAAAATCGGAATAAGCAATAGCGATAAAATTTCCGACGAGTTGGAATTCTGTGTTAAAAACTGTGTTATTTTTATCGCTATCGCTATTCCTTCCATTGTGCAAGGGGCTTAAAACTTTTGATATTTTTATCGCTATCGCTATTCCGTCCATTGTGCAAGAGGCTTAAGATTTTAATATTTTTGTTTATTAACATATGCATAACAGAATATAACAGAAGCATTGAAATCCTATAGTTGAACTGTACCCCCCCCCCCCAATTCCGGCATAAATTAACAGTTATTACCCGCATAAACAAGGCCAAAACAAGGCCTTCTTTTTCTTCTTTGCTTCTATGGCTCACGCCCCTCTGCGAGAGAGGAGCAAACGCCAGTCTACTGATATACATTCTCAGAACGAATGTGGGGGGGGGGGATGTGCAGTTTTTACCTACTACCACGCGATACACGGCCGTCTTTCACAGGGGGCGTGCCCATCTGTGTCGGGCTCGTGCTCAAGATAGTATGACTACAATCGCCTTGTGGGAGGGAAATTAATTCGGGATTACACCCAAATTAATTATTGGAGGCCCGGATTCAGTTCGCCAATCAACCGATAAAACTCGGTTGAAAGGGACTGGCCCGGAAAAAATCCTTAGGTGGTGAGCGGATTCGAACTCGGGACCAGTGATGAAAGTTTTGGCAGGCTAGCACCAAGAGCACCAAGGTGGTGGGAGCCACTGGGAATACGCACACAGGCGAGACCGCCGTCCGTGTGTGTGACGTCATGCACACGGACGGCGGTCTCGCTTGTGTGCGTATNACTGGGAATACGCACACAGGCGAGACCGCCGTCCGTGTGTGTGACGTCATGCACACGGACGGCGGTCTCGCTTGTGTGCGTATTCCCAGTGGCTCCCACCCTTGGTGCTAGCCTGCCAAAACTTTCATCACTGCTCGGGACCTCCAGGTTCGCAGCCCCTGCACTCAGGCCGCGAGACCACTGGGCCGGTCCCAAAACAAGGCCTTATTTGCCGGCATAAACCAGGCCTAAGAATGGTCATGAATATGTTTTACGTTTTCTCGTTCTCGAGCGCCGCTATGTCCACGTGTTCTAACATGAACTAGCTAATAAAACAGTTCACGACTCAATTCGATTGTGTTCTAGGCTGTGTGTCTCATCGCACAGTTTTCTCTCTGTGTATACCCAGAAGTCCTTGGGTTTATATCCGCCGTACGTCTATTTCGACGATACACATGGCTTCGAAAAAAATGTCGAAGGTCATTCGGAGACGTTTCGGAAGTCTGCTTGACGGTCGTCTGTTAGCGCATCGAGACTGAATCAGAATCCCGTCGTTCCGACGTGTGTCCACTGAAAACACGCGCGAATATCATAATTTTTTGTTTTTGTTTGAGTCGCCCGAGAACGCATTGCTTACTGAATAATCCGTCGTGAATTTGTTGTTAGTCGCGTCGGTGTTGAATAATCGGTCGCACACGTGTGAGTCATTAAAGAAAAAGATTGGTATACGTTACAACGTGCGGCGGAGTCCAAGTTTCTTATTATGTGCGCAAAAATGGCTTTTTCGCATCAGCCGGGTACTGTAATGGAGTGCCTAAGTGTATGTATTCTTGGATTTTATTTCTAACTTGTTATTTTTGTGATAGCGCACGCCCTTTATTGTCAAAGGAGCAAGAAATGCCACGTGTTTATTTTGTTCTTTCTCTTGCTTCTAAATTTTGTAATTCTATATTTTGTGTGTATTTAGGACATTGTTATTGGGATAATATATATCAAAAAGTATATAAGTAAAGAAAAAAATCTTGTGTAAGAAAAAAATGCTAAGACTTATTAAATATATATATTTATATTGATTAATTGCAGATACCAATTACATTACACAAAGAAACAGAAATCAATGAAAACGGCGAGGAAGTAATGAAATGTGGCTTCAAAATTGGTGGTGGAATCGATCAAGATTATACCAAAAGTCCACAGGGTTACACTGACAATGTGAGATGTTATTTTGTGTTACATTTTTTAATAACATTTTAATATGTAATTAATAATATGATATGTACTTAAGAAACAGCTTAGAGAAACAATTGCAATTAGAGAAACACAATGTTTCCAGGGTATATATGTAACTGAAGTACATGATGGATCACCGGCTGCGAAGAGTGGCCTTAGGACACACGACAAGATTTTGCAGTGTAACGGATATGACTTTACAATGGTAACTCATAAAAAAGCAGTTTCTTATATAAGAAAACATCCGGTATTGAACCTCTTAGTAGCTCGTAAAGGTGTAACCAGTACTTAAGAACATGCCAAAAATTCATATATTACTCGATAAATATTTATTTCACACTCTTGAATGAGAAGTCTATATTCGTCCCCCATTTATAATTTTTCTGCCAAATATTACAATAGATGTTAGCGATCTGTTTGATTAACATGTTGAATAATGTTTCTAATCTTATGATGCGAAATACCATGTTTTATACATTATGTGACAACTAAAATTGATTTGTTAACATAGAAAAATCAGATTATCAGTATTGCTAAAGTGTCTGAAAAGAGATAAAGAAGTATATCTTCGTTTATTTCCAAACTGGAGACAAATAGAAATCATACCTGCTTGATACTTGTTAGTATCTTTATAAAGCAGTTTTATGAGAGACATGCCAAAGTAAATAATACAGTTGCATTTACTCACGTATATCTTTGACTCTAAAATTGTGGATTTCTGTTTTTTTCCCACAAAAGAGAAATTTAACACAGAAATTCAAGCATTTACGTATCTTCATGACATAATAATAGAGTCTATATTTATATATATATATATAATTATATATATATATATTTATATTTATTTAGTTGAATTCTATAGTTTTATAGTCAAAGATATGTATAATAGACATATATAATATTCACTTTTATATATTTTATATTCGTATTATACACTCGATTACTCTTTAAGTTCAGATATTACAAGAGAATAGGTAATATATATGTGAAGGATATTTTGAGAATTTAATGTTTACGAAATATTTTATATATACATACATCCTACAAATGTGTTCTTTTTAGAAATTTACTATAAATAAGCTTGAAAACAATTCAATTTATATGAATAATACATATTTCTTAATTTTTATATACATTAAAATTAATGAGGTAACGAATTATAATCTCTGAAGTTAAAAGTGGCGAAACATTCCGAAATATCTTCCTAATGTATTTTACAAAATCGATATCGTTAGATTATCGAATATTAAAACAATCAAGTCTGCGGCACAAGATGCTTTTTTTCGTGTTAGATCGCATGCGCGCGCCAGAAGTGAATAATTGTGATTTAGAAATTCAAAAATTCGTCGAATCGTCGCCTATGTTCGCACGAGATCCAGTGCGAAGAAAAGCATCGTGTGCCGTGTAAGCTTCAGAAAGCTTAACTTTTCTCGTTGCAAAATGTGTTCTCACGTATCCACCCAATGTAATCTCAAGTGTTAAGAGATGTGCAAAAAATATACGAAAAAAAAACATAGAAAATCATTTATTGAATTTCTTTATAAAAACAAAAGTGACAATATCGTATATGTAATATACATCAATTATTTACAATCAGAATTTTGAGATAAAGAATATACACTAAAAAGAATTTTAAAGATGTACAAGAATTTGATTCACAGATAAATCATTATTACATTCCTAACAATATTTTTAGCCAATAATTTATATCGCAGAGACTAATACGTAAACAGAAACGAATTTTCTACTTCATCTCTTTGTTTTTATTCAAAGAACGACTTTTTCACATACTTTTTATACTTTTTGATACATCGGAAACTACAAAAGGTAAATTTTCATTCATTTCGCGTATTTCAACTTAGAATAAATTAATAGAAATACAAAAATAATAGAAAAATTCGAGATATTACTGCATGATGTGTTTAAATATATATATAACTCCGAGAATATATACATATATATATACACATATATTCTCGGATATATATATCCTAGTCCAATAATAACTGGTTGGAACACGCAGTTTTTAAATATGTACTAGCGTAAGGTGTATGAAACACAGAAATAATAAATCCCACACATAAATTGTAGAGAGAAAAAATACAAATGATGTTATTAAGAAAAACCAAAGAAACTATTAAATCTATTTCGTAGTGTTGCTTTATTTAATCCTGATCTGAGACAAGGAACATTTTTCTGTAAGAATCCCCAACATGTGTGTTATATATATTTTTTTTTGTTTTCCCATATTACACTAGTAATATACATTTAGTAATCTCCGATGAATAAATTTGTTTAAGAACTTTATTGCCTTTAAACATGGTAAGTGACGCCGATAGAAATAAAAGGATACCATTTAGCTACGTGTTCGCTAACATTACGTGCGTTTACAAATCAGAGTCTCTCGCAATTTTCATCTGTTCCGTTCTAAGCGCTACAATACCACATTACGCAATATTCCTAAATCGCAAAGAAGACGCTTGCTAATCTAATTACCGCGAATTACTTAACTATAGCGGAGATATAGTGATACTCCACAAATTTCTCTTATTCAAAAATGATAAAAGTGTATCGCGATTCAGGTAAATTACACTTTTTGGGGTTGTACAATATGATATAATCTGCTACATACATTCCGTTTACAGATGCTATGTAGGGGTGTAACCACATTTCACAACAGTTAATTGGGGAGATAATAATTGGCAAATGCGGCACTTGTTTTCAATTAACTATCTAACAAGTATATATAGTATTATTGGCCGGCCTTACAATTCCATTTCGCTTCCATATTCCGCGCTAGTAAAAACACGTTTGTGTGTTTGTATAATACTAAAAATCTGCATTTAAAAAATACGGTGTTTCTCTGCTTGAACTATTTAGTCGCGGTCAGCAATCGACAAGACAGAATTTATTAAAAAACACGGTAGAAGAGAAATACATCCCCGCAAATATGATACAAAAATTGTTTCACGTGGTCTTACAAATTGTGTCTTGCTAATTGAAGACACTCTTTCTTACATTATAAAAGCTTCCTTTGCTTGTTTTTCTTCACTTTGCACATTATCGTCGTATAGTTTTTTTTTTTTTTTTTTTTTCGTTTTTTTTTCATTGGAATGTGAACATTTGTAACATTGTTCTACATTATTCATTGTACTTGATTACAGTTATTATTTACAATTTCAGTATTTCGAGTATCTTACAATTCGGAGTTACATATAAGTAATCTGTACCGATGTAATCACATTAATCTTTTTGTAAAATAACTTACATATATATATATAATCTTTTTTTTTAATAACTTACATTATATATATATATATATATATATACTTGTTTGTATGTAAAATTAATGAATTCCTGCGTAAGCTACCTGAAAATTAACAACTGATATTACCTTATCACCGGAACATCCATACGTCAGTGGATTCATTGTGTTCTTATATTATAGTCTCAAAATTAGTTTTTTTCCCTCCTCGCTCTATATTTACATGATAATTCGTCCTAGTTGTACTGAAAGTATTTTTTTTTTTTTATTAATTTGAACATTTGTGTTGGCACATAATATATTACAAAACGTATATTAAGCGTGTGGTTTTATTAATTTTTAGGCAGCGAGATCTCACTTGAATCTAAAACTTAGTACCAGAACCATTGAACTTATTATCTATAGACAACCTTCAACCACAGTATTATTAATAAATTAATATATTTGAGACGCACACACATACACACACACAGAGACGCACAATTTATATTCCGGTGTGTTTTCTGTAGGTCGTTTGTTGATTTTCTTGCAAATTACGTTAAAACATTCGTGGAAGTATATCAAAAGATACTAAATACAAATCGGTGTCAACAATGGATTGTTAGTTCGCTACAATACTATAAAAATTTATGCATCTTCCAATTAAAAAAAATGCGGAATTCCAAATGCAGGTTCGCTGAGGAAGAGCGTGTTTTTTGTTTTTTGTTTTTACCCGTGTTTTCTATGTACATGATTCGTATATGTATCGTAATAATCAATCACAATTTGTATGTAGGTATGCGATGTGTGTTACTGTACTTCTATTTTATTGCTCCTCGGAGCTGGAAATCTTAACTTGCAACAATGCGCTTCCTCTTATCCATCATATTGCACTATCCTCTAGAAAATGTACGCTGTAAAATTTTGTACCTCAGCGTTATTTCCTCGGTATATAATTCTTGTACTAAAAATTTCATCTAGCTTTATATTTTCATATGAAAATAAAGTTTGAACGGACAACATCGTTATACACTATAATTGTTAACTATGTAACACGATAACATTAGCTAATTAATTGTCGCGAATGTGAGTATTTCGGACATCTGAGACTCTTGAATTCCAATTCGAATTCCAAGCGTTCGGATTTGATGTGATGTGTGTAGATAATTGCGTCAAAAAAGTTAAAATATTAGATCAATTAAAATCTCAAATGCATCTTCTGAGCTTACTTTGTAAGCTGAGATTCGTATATGTATTATACATATGTATGTGTTATATTCCTGCAACATATATCTCTCACTAAAATGATAAAACCTATATTTAAAATTATCTCACGTCTCTTGGAATTCGATACTCGCTTCCATCGCTTTTCATCTGGACAGAGATGAACTGGCCTCTGATCTGCCGCTTATAGCAGACTGGAGACTCATCATCGAACCTCTGAAAAAACCAAAAACAAAACAAAAGAATGTCAAAGACGCTCGAGTATTACGTTAAATACATACTGTGTGTGCAACGTGCAAATACCTGTAATGCGCAGACGGCAATGTTTCGTAAAAATACATCAGTTGAGCTTTGTGAGAACTAATGGATGGAAGAAATTCAGCTTGATCTTCTTGATTCTGCCATTGCAGCACATAAGTACCGGTATTTTGCATGATATGAGTACCCTGTAACGTGAAAAGGAATAAAAGTTTTATAAAATTGTAATTACGTGTAATGAATCGCCAAATAAATATTATTCATAAAAATCTAAAATACAATAACGCGAATTGATGCGCACCTGAATGCTTTCTCCGTCATGACAAACTATGCTAGGTTCAACTTTAACATAGTTGTCTTTTAGCTCCTTTGCACCGATAACTTCGTGATCGCCACCAATTGCGAGTTCTGAGATTTCTGCAATGATTTTCATCGCACGTGTATACATATTTTAACGCTATTTTAGATTGTTTATACAAATTTTACATTTTCTCTGGTAAAATGTACCTGCAACAGTACCATTTTCGCTATTCCAGGGCTTGTAGAGTACCGTGAACACGACGTTGTGCCGCATCACATCGAAATCCCATGTTAAAACGGCCCCCGGATCGTCCGATTCTATAAACACATGGTGACTCTGACCGCGACTCACGCTGACGGAATGATATAAGCTGTGCTCGTGTTCGCCGGACGTGCCTTCCAAATCTAGTTTGTACAGATTCTTTGGAACTACTCCACCCTCCATCACGTACGTCTGACATTTGAACAAAAGTGTTTTCAGATTATACTGTGTATATTGAATTTTTCAATTACATATTATAGATCGAAATGTGAAACAAAGTTTGAAAAATATTACAAGAATCAATGATCAATTAAATTTCAGATGTTTAGGAATTTTTTTGATTACTAAAAAATTACTAAAAAAAACTATATACGTAAAAAGTACAATAATATATTTCTTAAAAAGGTATTTGCTTTTGAAATGCATAATGAAATTTAATTTGCTGAAGCACGCAAAATTACGTCATTTTCTGTGCACGCAGTTGCTCTATAAATTTAAAAATTGGTGCTTTAACTTGTGCGCATTTACGTGGATACAGGATTGTACTTAAAACTATATATTTATATATATATTTGCGACGTACGGTACACACATTTGAAAGATGAAAACGATGTTTTTAACAGATATACGTAACAACCTCGATTTGTATGGATTATGGAATTATTTCTTTCGCATGTAGATGATTTATGACGGACACATGTATAGACGTGTGATACAGATGATGCCTAATCTAGCGATTGCTGATATTACACGTGACACAGCTCTTTAATACTTTTTTTTTTTTTTTATGTTTCAGATACGAGAACGATATACATTGTAGTGCGGTTTGAACGGTCACGTCTTTTGATTTACTAAAGCCAGTTTAACTGCAGAGAGAAAGAGAGGACAACTTCTACAACATATTGAAAATGAAGTTTTGTGTGTTTTTTCTTACGCTGCTCACGGTTGCGTCGAAAATGTAAAACCTTCGAGGTACCAAACTATAGACTTCGCATATATTCATTTCCTAGTATCCAACATGCAATATGTATTATTCCAGCGTGTACAAGTATAAAAAAATCGGCATTATTCTCTTTCAGAGAAAATAACACAAATATTTCCATAAATTATTTTCTACTC